AATAGGATACTAAGCAGTGCGAACTAAAAAACTAATACAATGTTAAACATCATGCAACAAATTGGATATGAGATGGTTGTTGGGGGGAGGGGGAAGTAAAGGGAAGGAACAAAGAAACTCACAACACAAACGCCATTCAGGTCGGCTCTTCCCCATGTTAACAAGGAAGGTGGTATACTAGCAAAAGCCAGGACAGGTCGAATGAAAGTTTTACTGGTAATGCATAACGTTATGGTGGCAAGTGAAGAGGAAGCTTTGCATCTGTTCGTTTCCTCCTAGTGAGTAAGATCGATAGACAAAATATGGCTGGGTGGTTGTGGAGCCGCGCATCAACATCATCATCATCATCAACAACAGCAGTACATCAGCCATTTGAACTGATGCTTCGCTGCCATACAACCATGAGGACCTATGAAATAAAGAATAAGAAGAGGGAGAGAAGGGGGACTTACCTGAAAACCTTAATGCCCTAAGCAAACATTCAGGGTCAAGGCGCCTACACCTTGTGTAGACAACATTCCGTCACAAACAGCTGGCTATCGTGCAAAGATAAGGCGGCATCGGCGAGACAGCTTCCTTGCGGCTTTCACTGCCACGCGTCATAATCAGCCATTACCCCGCAGATAACTCAGCACCAAACACACTTTAAACAGACAATCCGATTAGGAGACGGCAGCAGACGCGCCACTGGTGTCGGTTGCGAGCCATGTCCTGTAAAGTCTCGAGCCAAGCACAAGGTGAGTCACGTGGACTCCAACCCGGAAGGCGAGACGGACCAACGGCACCCAGTTTGGTCGTCAGTGACTTCATTTCCCGCTGCCAAGTCAACTTCTGTCCACCTCGAGCCTTGCGCCATCCTACACCTGGTAGACTAAACAAGGCCCTCCTAGGTAAGCGGTGACCAGGCATGCGTAGCACGTGCCCGAGCCAACGTAACTTATTCAGTGCTATCTGTTGTTCTAGGGAGCTAGCATGATCATCACCACCTAGTACTCGCCTACGCACATCATCGTTGCGGAAACGCTGGTGCCATCCGACACCAGCAATGCTTCGCAAACAACGATGATCAAAGACTTGAAGGCGCCTCAGATCTTCAGACCGAAGGGGCCAAGTCTCACTACCATACAGCAGAACGGCCCTCACTGTGGCCTTGTATACACGGCCTTTCAGACGGAGGGAAACTCCCTTCTGTCGCCAAAGGTGACGCAGGTTCAAGAAGGCAGCTCTAGCCTTTGCGATGCGTGAGCTCACGTCAGTTTCTATGCGCCCATCATTGCTGACGCAGCTGCCCAGATAAGTGAATTGATCAACCACCTCGAGTTCCTCGTTAGCAAGCGTCAAGGGGTCATCGAGTGGCTGGTGGTCCTGCAGCAACACTTTGCACTTTGAAGGTGCGAAGTGCATACCAAATAATGGGACCACTCTGGATAGGCTATTCAGGGTTGATTGGGCCGCCTCAACATTGTCGAAAAGCAAGACGATATCGTCCGCATAATCTAGATCAACTAACCGTTCACCAGGCAGCACTTCAACACCTACATCGTGAGATTCCGCAAGGGAACACTCCATGATAGAATCCACGACGAAATTGAACAAAAACGGGGAAATCGGGCAACCCTGTCGAACGCCACTTGTAGTCGAAAAGCTATCCGATAGGGCACCATAGACCCTGACGCGGCCTGTAGTGTTCGAGTATAGAGCACGAAGGATGTTCACATATTTCGTGGGAACACCTTTCCGCGCAAGTATTTCGAACAGAATCGATCGATCGACTGAATCGAACGCACTTTTGAAATCGAGGAACACAGCTATTGTCGGTCTGCGGTATGCGTGGCGCTGCTCTAGCACCTGCCGCAAAGTAAATATATGGTCTATACAGCCACGTCCTGGGCGAAAACCGGCCTGCTCTTCCCTAATCCGTGATTCCCGTTCTGCAGTGAGGCGACGAACGATAATCGACGCCAGTAATTTTGTCACAACTGGCGTTAGGCTAATACCCCTGTGGTTCGCACAGTCTGTGCGACTGCCCTTCTTGTATATTGCCACTACAATCGATTCGCTCCAATTAGCCGGCACACTCTCTTCGTTCCAGATACGTTCGAATAGGGAGGTCAGTGCTTTGCAGAGGACCTCACCTCCATCCTTAAATAGTGCAGGTGGTAGGGAATCCGGGCCAGCGGCACGAAAACGATTGAGGGCTGTGATCGCGTTTCGGACCTCGGCCTCCGACGGAGGCTCTAAACTAACCGTCCATGGCTCGTCCTGCATCACCTGAGTAGGAAGAGGTCCGGGAGCAGGGGGCCAGCTGAACTGATGTTCAAAGTGCTCAGCCCAACGAGCCATACAGCGCTCCTTATTGTGTATGAGCGCACCCGCGCTGTCCCTGATTGTCTCACTGACGCCTGGTTTTCTCGGACCAGTGGTGCGTATTAGCTGGAAGAGCTTCCGGTAATTGCCTACTGCTCCTGCCTCCTCCATTTCTTGAGCCCGACTGGTCCACCAGGCTTCCTTGTCAGCACGTAGGCTCCGCTTTAGTTCACGCCTAATAGCCCGTCTGGTCACATTGTGTTCAGAACCAGCCGGGAGGTGCCTTCTAGCTTCCAAAAGGTTCACGGACCTCTCGGATATCCAGTGACTGGTGCGATGACGACTGATAGTGCCACAAGCATATGCTCCTGCGTCGTGCATAGTGACCGAGATCCTATTCCACTGAAGTTCAGTATCATTAGGACAAGACAGCGAGAGTTCGCTATGCAGTGCTTCTTGATAGGCTTGCCTGACAGAGGGCTGGGACAATTTCTCCGTTGCCAATCGGGGAGACGCTTTGTGCGCCTTCCGGTAAAGTTCATGGAGAAACGACAGCGCACCAAGGCATGGTCAGAGTCGACACAGGTACTCCAGTACGAGCGGCAATCCAGAATGGAACCGCGCCACCTGTAACTTATGGCTATGTGGTCAATTTGGGTCCATCGCTGACCAGCTACTGGTGGACGCCAAGTGGCACTTCGGCGCCCACTGTGTCTAAAAGCAGTGCTAGTAAGAAACAACTGGTGCTCCGCACACAGTTGCAGCAGACGCTCGCCGTTGTCAGTCCGTTCGGCGTTAAGTCCATACTTACCACCCAGCTGAGCTTCTGAAGAGCTCAGACGCCCTACTTGTGCGTTCATATCCCCTGCAAGTACTATAATATCTGAACTAGTAGCACTGCGTAGCAGCGTGTTCAGTTCGTGATAGAAAGTGTCCTTGACTGCATTGGAACTGCAGTCCGTGGGAGCATAAGCAGAAATCACAAACAAACAGCGTTTTGTTTTACTTCGCGAGTTCACCTTAGCTGATGTCGTCAAACGGGCTGCACATAAACGGCTGTTCCCCGGAATCCAATCAACCAACGATGACTCAGCCTTGGAGCTGAGAATGATACCTACACCAGCTTGACCCGTGAGTGCCGCATCGGCGTCTCCGGATGCGTGCAACCAATAACGAGAGGATAAGCCGGGTGCAGTCAATTCAATAACCCCGTTAGGGTCATTAATCCTAGTTTCGGACACACAACACACATCAACACCCAGTGTGTCCAAGGTGCGTGCGAGTGCAGCCTGCTGACCTGTTTGTCTTAGAGTGCGGACGTTGAATGTCGCCATGGAAACGGGACAGCGTGGCCTTATAGGGAATTTTTGCCGATAGGCGTCCGATGGGTGCTGTGGGATGGTGGCTGCAGATGGTTCTACTCCAGTAGTACTTCGGTTGCTGTCAATTAAGCTGGGAATTATAGAAGGAAGGTTAGTAATGGGGGCCGGGATGGGAGTAAGAGAAAAAGGTGGAAAAGAAAGAAGGGAGGCGCCAGCAGTAGCATGCTTTCGCTTATCCGCCCTGCTGTATGCAGCAGATAAGGCGACCCTTGATAATCTGCGCGACGGCCGATGCAGGATGAAGTTTATGTTTGAAGAAAATGTCAAGGTTGTATGTGGGCTGGGATACTGCCAGGGCGCCCAGACCTAGACAGGAGAACGATTAGGGTCCTCATCCAAAGCCTTTGGCTCAAAGCCTGTCCGCAAGGCAGCGGGGTGGCAGTGATTTAGTTTTACAGAAATGGACGCCATCCCATTTCAAACCCCCAACCTGGAGGACCAGGAGACTGAGTTTGTCTGACCTCTCACCATTGACCAACCTGGTAGGAGTAGCTCTCAAGATGCTCGGAGGCATCACCCAGTATAGCTCAATGGGTCAATGAGGAACTCTAGTAAAATACGCAGGTGACATTGTCCTGGATATCAAGCACCGGACCAATGCTTGTTCACTCATGCTGCAAGCCATTCGGAAGAATCCAAAGGTTGTAATCAGTACGTTTTAATGAATAAAGAGCAACCCTCACTCCAATCCCCAACCTGGAGGACCAGGAAATTGAGCTTGTCTGGCCTCTAACTGCTAGCCAATCTGACATGAGTGACCCTGAAGGCGTAAGAAGCATCACCCAGCACAGCTCAGTGGACTAATAAAAGACGCAAATCGTCGCGTCAAGATAAAGTCCGGTTTCAATGCACTGCCAACTAAGTGAAACGTAGCCTTTCCCGTGTCATTTGGCCTTGACCTTTCAATAAAGTGACTGTTTCATTGCGGATTTTTCATGGGATTGATTAAACCCAGTAATCAGTTGACACCAAGAAACGTGCCAAATCAATCCACAGCACAGTCCTGGTGTCAATTTTGCTAAAAACCACTTGGCACGCATGGTCCAAAGCACGTTTACGTCAACAAGATTCAGTGGGTTGATACTGTCATGTATACGCAGCTGGGCGCACTATGTAAATTTAGAGAAATAAGAAAAGGTTTCGATAGAATTCAAAGCAGTTAACCGACAGAGTACTATATTAATGACGGAAGGTGCAACTATTGAAGTAGCATTCACTTACCTCGAGGTTGGTTACCTTGCTCAGCACCTCACTTTTTTCATTAAGGAGCCGGGCCAGCATGATTTCGCTGGCTTTTTCCAGATTGACCTTCTCTTCCAGTAATTGATACAAATGGGATTGTAAGGAATCGGGAGGGAGATCCTACTAATTACTGAAGCGAAAAGAAACCAACCTGTTTAAGCATGGACAGCTGACTTTCATACAACTCTAGCTTCTGCAACAATCTCTCCTCGTTTAACATAGCCTAGAATAAAGGGGATGGTTGGTTGTGAAGTAGTCACCAGCTTACCTGCCACCCAGCCTCTGAAACTTCGCGCGTTTCTTGGAGCAGGCGATTCATTGATTCAAGTTTGCTTTCTAGAAGCTGTTCGCGAAATAGTGCTTCCTATAACAGCAAAGTTAGTATCGAATATGCTGTACAACTGTTTACTTACACCGACAAAGTGAGCAAGACGAAAAACTTGCTCAGCATGTAGTGTCTCAATTCCCAGTGCCCCGCTACTGACCCCAGCTGGGGCAACACTACGAACAAAATAAGAAAAGATAAGCGCGTGTACTTTTGTTTAGCTTCGACTCCATTTGCATGGAACAAGGTAACGCGAGCAATGATGCAGCCATGTGTTGCTAAAGTATAAGTAAATGGTCACAGACTCACTCTCATGCTCTACCACGTCTACACCGAAGCGGATAATATCACCAGAAAAAAGCTCCCGGTCGGCAAATTCTTCATCGCCCGACTTCACAACTCGTGTGTTATTTACATACGTCCCGTTGCTGCTGTTCGTATCACGCAACCAAAACTGAAACAACATTAGGTAGACGAAAGTAGACCATACCCGTCCCTCGTTATACCAGATTAAAGCGTGGCTGCGAGAAAGAACTTTGCAGTCAAAAATGGCGTTCGTGTCTGACGGCTTCGCGCGCGCCACTGATCGACCAACTTTGACTACGTCATTCAAAACAATGTGGCGATCCTGAAAAGGGTGTGAATCCTTTTGACAAGTCAGCGCCAAAACGGGTCCTTTTGAGCGGTTGCCCGGATACATTTTTCGTACTGAACTTGACGGATTACTATCGTAACATGTGCTGAAACAAAATGCGTGAAAAGTTAAAACGATTCATGGAGTAAAAAACAAAGTATATTACACTAAGAATTTAAACACAGAAATCAAGGTCCGATGATTAGCACTAGGTATGTGCGTCAACTAAGTAATTAGGAATAAGTAAAAGTACATGCCAGTCAGTAAGTTGATGCACTATACTAGAAGAAAAGAATGGATAAAAATGAAAAGAGAAGTGCGTTAGCAAGGTTTTACGACATCCAGCTGCCAGCAACAACGCTACAACCTAATGTGGTGGGCATCATAAACTAATTAGCTCATCATTATCATCATCACACACGCAGGCAAGAGGCGAAAAACACCACAGCTACTCAACTACAATAAAATACAATGACTCGCAAAAAGAGACAAAAGTAAAAATACTAAAGTAAACAATATCATACTGTGCTTTTCACTTTTGATCAGTAGTGAAACCATGGAGGCGAAGACGGAGAAGAAAGGACAGAGAAACCCGCAAGAGAAACGTCACTGAGGTCGGTTCTTCGCAACGTGAACAAATGTCATCAACCACACGTGTACACCATCTTTCGGACAGAAAGGTGTTAGTCAGGAGGCCCTCCAACTGAGGCAAAGTTCGAAGTAAGAACTCCCATTTCTAGATCGTATCAGCACTCGGCCTCTCATCATTAGGACCCCGGTCGTAGGTCGCAGCAGTTACTGTGCTATCACGCGCAACATGTTGCCCAGCCATCGGAGCTTGGTACGTGATATAACGGTGCTGAGTGGTTCACTAGTTGTTGTTGCATCATAAACAAGACGCCGAACACGCCCATTGCTCATGTGGTGTTCTTACCAGATGTGAGGTAGACTGCAAAAACACCGGTGGTCGAAGGTTAATAGACGTGTTTTTGTGTTCGGTCAATCTAATGGGTCAGGTTTCGCAAGCATAAAGGAACTAAACAAACGATGGCATTGAAAACTCTACTCTCCAAGGAGTCGCGTCGGGGTCAACTACAAAAATCTTATATATGGAAAAGTGAGATACGATACAGAATACAGTATAAAGACAAAAACAATTAATATGGTAATAGGATATGATATGATAATGGATCATATTACCCATCGAGTGTGAGGTTATGGCTTGCCGAACAACCTCCTCGTGGTGCCAGCTGGGTGGTCCGGGATTATCTCGGTCCAGCGAATGGTTCGGCGGCAGTGTTCCAGGACGTGGTGGGTTTTCGCCTGGCAAGCGTTCTCCCTATAAAAAGCCACATGTGTCCGTTTAACAACACTGCGACGTGGCGGATGTGACTCGCCACTAAATAAAGTCACTGCCCCTTGTTTCACTTTGGTGAAGCATTGTATCCCAGCACCTTGCTGCTGAAATCGTGGGGAAGATTGGGCCCCTGTTTGGCTACTCACCAAACGAAAGGCGTATGAACTGAGCAATCAGTCATCGGCTCCCAATGGGTGCGAATCCCTGACTTCGCTCCGCTGCCTTGCGGGTAGGCTATTGAGCCAAAGGCTCGGGGTGGAGTCCCCTAAGACAACTCCCTACTTCGGCTTGGGCAACCGGGTAGTATCGTGCCCTCTGTGAAAACCATGGATTTCGCACTTACTACTACGTCGCTTACTTCTGCTACTACTTTCGCTGCTACTCGTGCTTCTCCATCACACGCCAACTTTTCTCTTGTTGATAATCTACAACCTGTTGAATCTACTTCCAATGCCCGTCTCGCTGGTATCCAAATCATCCGGCCATCAGCTATCCTTCGACCCGTAATTCATTCCGTCTGGCAGCGTTCAATGTTCGGACCCTCCTACAGATTGGACAACAGGCTGGCCTGGCGCGCACTCTAGAGTCCCTCGCTATCGATGTTTGTTGCCTTTCAGAGACTCGACTACAGGATCCCAGCACCGTGGTTAAATTGTCGTCCCCAGCTGCTCTTGAGACCACATATTACCTACGTCTGTCTAGTGACATGGAGGCAGCAACAGCCGGCTTAGCTGGTGTCGGTATCGCATTGAGTGACAAAGCGGAGGCTGCATTACTCGACTGGTTTCCAATCGACAGCCGGCTGTGTGCGGTTCGGCTTCAAGGCTCATGTAGAATCAACAGACATCGTGAAGAGAGGCGCAATTTGTTTGTCGTTTCTGCCTACGCTCCAACCGACTGCAGCTGTGCATCGGTTAAGGATGACTTTTATCGTGGTCTCCACAACCTTTTGAACAAGACCGAAAAGTCAGATGTCATCGTCCTTGCCGGAGATCTCAATGCACGAGTAGGTCGCCTGCTTCCGTGCGAACGTCATCTTGGTGGCAGTCACGCGCTTGATGAAAGCCGTTCTGACAACGGTGATAGACTTCTTACGTTATGCGAAGACCACCGTCTGTTTCTCGCAAGTACGAACTTTAGGCATACCAGAAGACGCGCAGCCACCTGGCGTCCTCCTTCACCAACGCTAGCGTGGTCACAAATAGATCACATTGCAATCAGCTTTAGATGGCGAGGCAGCGTCCGGGGTTGTAGATCGATTTGGTCTACGTACCTCGATTCAGATCATGCTTTGGTCTGCGCGGACATCTGCATGCGCTTCGGCGGCTCCTCAAAACGAAAGCTCCATACGCTCGACACCAACAAGTTAGCTGACCTCTCTACTCGATCAACTTATCAAGCTTCCTTATCGCATGCATTCATTGGGGCTCCACCTCGAGACATCGAAAATCATTGGAGTTTCCTGCGTGAAGCGATGCTAACTTCCAGTCATTCAATCTGCGGAATCACAAGGGGCTGGATTTCCGCACACTCACTGGAATTGTTTGATCGTCGTAGAGCTATCCCGACCGATTCAAATAGCAGTGCATTGCGTCGCATTCTCAGCCAACAACTTAAGCAAAGCCTGCGTGCGGATCGCGAAACTTGGTGGTCCCAGCGCGCCTCAGAGATGGAAATGGCAGCCCTCTCTGGAAACTTCCGCAAGCTCTTCCAGGTCATTCGGGCCACTGGTCACAAAAGACCTGGTGTCAGTGAGGTCATTTGCGAGGTTGACGGAACGCCGATAAGCAACTTACACAAGCGTATGGATCGCTGGGCTGAACACTTCCGCACTCAATTCAGCTGGCCTCCTCCGCCGGCGAGTCTATTGAGTATACCTAGTTGCGCGCCTAGGAACGTCAATTATCTTCCCGATCTTCAAGAAAGGTGCCCGTACCCTATGCGTTAATCACCGAGGAATCAGTCTAATGTCCATCGCCACCAAGTTGTCAACATCCATTCTACTCGGCAGACTAACCCCGATTCGAGGATTGCACTCCCGTGAAGAACAGGCTGGTTTGCACCCCGGTCGATGGTGTAAGGACCACTTGTTTAGGTTCCGCCAACTCCTTAAAACACATCATCTTTATCGCCAGCCCACTATCGTTGTTTTTCTGGACATCCAAGCCGCTTTTGACTCCGTCGATCGGTCAGGTTTATGGCGTTTGTTACAAAAGAATGGCGTACCTGAAAAGTATATCACCATCCTCCGAGCATTATATTGCAACGTCTCAGGTAAAGTGAGGGCTTATGGTGAGCTCTCTTCACTCTCACTCTTTATATATATATATATATATATATATATATATATATATATATATATATATCTGGCATCTGGTTCCGGAATGCTTGCAACCGTGGCCACCACGTGAACAGCTACAGGACGCCTGCGCCTACAGAGGGACCATGGGTGGTTACGCTGCACCGCCCACACACCCCATATGCAGTGTAAACCCGAAGCAATAAGACCGGAAGGCATGTGAATGGGAGCCACGTTTCACCAACGGAGCCGACCCGCACACCTTCACAGGCAAACACAAACACGCTGTAATTGGGGAAACAATTGCATACAAGGCGGTGGCTGAACCGTAGTCCCCTCCACACTGGATGGATCCACTCTTGGAGCCTAGCACGGCCACGAGGACCGTGCACCCCGTCCCCTCCAGCAACGACCAACTGTCTCCTGGAGCCAGTATGGACGAGGTAGTGGGTAATAGACAGGTAGGCACCTTGTCAACATGCATATCAAGCGCAGCCACACCGGGGATGTCAAACAACAGCCAATCACATGAAATGAGAATAACAAATAATATATCTCGAATAAAGCATACTAAAATGCTGATATAAATCTACGCCAAATGAGCACATGTAATAGACTGGTTACCAACGAATCCGCGGTAAGTGTAAGATGTCATAAAATATATTAAAAAAGAAATGCCAATAACGCGAAAATGTTACCGAACTTAAGCATAATTAGCTTAAGCGCAGTGTGCAAGTTAATAAAAGTCAAAGTCAAAACAAGGTTTATGAACTATAATGGGTTCATTTTCAGCATTTACACCACCACTGCGGACACCTGGATGATAATATCAATATACATGCTTGGATAGAAAAGTGGGAAAAAAGCAGAATTGTTACTCCAACAACCGCTCACGCAGCAGGTTAGTGACTTTTGCTGTGTCAACAAGCAAACGTAAGTGATAAGGCAAAACAGTATTACGATACGATGAGGTGCGGGAGAATGAAATTCTGTCTTTTGAACGATTAGAAGAGAAAAAGAGGGTTCTGGATAGATCATTATGAAGTGGATGAAATCAATCAGTTAGTACCTTAGAAGAAAAATCATTGCAGGCATCAAGATGCCTAGAAATGATCAAATCAATTAAAGAATCTCTAGACAAGCCGCTGCATCTAGTAAATATGTGCTTTATAGTTCGCACTAATAAGATGTAGTCTTTCTGAAGCAGTCCAGGGAAAATGACAGGAGAGCAGTATAACCAATGGGGAATAATACAAGAGGTCACAAACCTGAATATTAAAGTACGAGGTACTGAAAGCACCTTAAGTCTGAGGGCATAAAAGAAAGTTTTCTGACTTTTTGAAAAGTTTTACAGACGTGCGTGGACCAAGAAAGGTTCTGGGACAAAAAGACGCCGAGATACTTGACGGTGGAAGAGCTGGGTATGGGATTTTCATTCACAGTAAGTGTG